GTCTCGCCGCCTGAACCTTTCGTCTCAACCTCTATGTCGGGCAGGTGAGCAAAGTTTCAGGTGTGCGAGCGGTCTCGTATACTCTGATGCTAAATTATAATGATTGCCATATTATTTACGCTGTTAACCCTTTAAACAGTACGGTTTCTGCGGTTGGTAGATGGGAGAATTTCGTGAAGAGGCCTGCTCTTTTGCTGGCTTTCCAGGTAACCTGGTATAAAAACCCCGGAATTTGACTTGTTATGGATTCATTTTGGAAGAAACTTCTTGGGAATTGGGTACATTTGATGAAGTGCGGTGCTTGTACTTGTTTTAAACAGCTATTCCAGCCGGCAGCTACGGTCAGCGCTGTCCGAGCCACAGAGAAACTGTTTGGAATCACACGTCGGCCCGTTGCCCAGGTAAGCGATTTTCAGGAATTTTGTATCGATTTTGTTGAGGAGCGCATGAACAAACCAGTTGATCATGCAGAATATTTTGGATCTGTTGGAGTAATTACCGTACCTGGAAATGTTTCAAAAACTGAGGGCAGATGCTATTTTAGGGGTGGATTCCGTTTTATTCCGATTGAGATATCGATTTTTCAGATTTCGATTAGAAATTCACCCATTCGAAATGTGCTCAAAGAACGTTCAACCAGAATACCATTCAGAGACTAAGAACCAGTAGCAGTAGAAATTATATCTCCCATATGGGTGGGAAATATTTCTTCGGGAGCACTTTGAGCAATGGGAATGGATGAATAATTGCTACTGATATATTGGTTGAAAGGGTGAATTGCTTTGAACCTTCTGATGTCGAGCAGACACCAGCTTTGAAACTGTTTGAGAGAATTCTATTTTGGATCGCCTTTTTTGTGAGATCACGGGTTTCTTCTTTATTTGCATAGTCAAAACCGTGAACAAAGGGTACGAGACTGTGAGTCATCGTCATAGGAAACGAGCCAGCGGTACCATCTTCTTTGGAGTAGGTAAACTGTAGTGGGTTGACTACGGTAGATTTAGATGGTGGCTTTGGGTAGTAGAGTTCAGAATGGAAAATGTGAAGTGCGGATGGCGAATTCAAGCTGGCAGTCCCGTCGGTTGGATGTCGTTTCCAGATGACATAGCTCATTATGTGCACTCTGGCAGCGAATCGTCTCTGGATGAGTTTAGGAGATAAAGAGGATTAATGATGAAAGTCAATTAACTAGGGAAATGTTCGAATGCTGTATATATGTGTGAGTGTGTTTATATCGTATTCTAAACAGAGTCAATGAATGGGCTCCACACAGCCCGAGCGAGAGAGGGGGAGAGCGCAAACGGCAATTTGATTTGTTCATTGCTGGCTGGGAAGGCAGGCAGGCAGGCAGGCAGGAGTGCGATTTTATGTGTGATTGCAGAAGGAAAGGGTTGGCAAGTTGCCAAAATGGGAGGTAAATTTCGAATTATATGAAAGGGTTGGTGTTATAGAAAGCTTTTTTGGAGCTTGCAGGTTCCGCAAAATGTCACCAAATGTCAAGGAAATCTATGAGTTTGGGGATTCTCTATTGGTTAAGGTCGGATTCGGGATCGGCCATTCGAAAGGGTTATAAAAATTGGCCAAATAGAAAAAAAGAAATTTTGTTCTGTGAAAGGCATGGTACGATTTCAGTTGCGATTATACTGGTGGCGTTAATTCGATGGCGTTTTCAAAAGAGAATCAATCTCCATTAGTGGAGTGCTGTTCGCATCGCTGGGTCGGCTAATTGCTACAGGTCCTCTCGCACATCGGTTTTACACGGCCATCAGCCTTCTGCCTGCATCCCCTCGATGCCGGAATTTTTGCGAAATAATCGAAATATCTAGTGGGGGATTTGTTGAGATGATGTGTGGGCCAAAACGCGATTCTCGTAGTGGAGCAGCGAAAAAAAATCTAAGTGATGGTAGCGGGAATGTAATTCATGAGAATTTTTTTACAGTTCCTTCGAAGCCAAAAAAGATGCCGTAATATTTTTGGTAGCTTCGGAAAATTATCGCTCATTACCTATTATGGTGAGCTGACGTTTAGAGGTCTACACAAGCGAAGGGCGTTCAGGGGTACGAGCTTTTTCAACGGCATTTACCACAAAAGCCATGGTTAATTTTTCCTGAACGGCCCTCTGAATACCAGAAAAGGGGGTCCCTAGTCACACCTTTTTCACCAGTTTTTCAATCAAAGTCTATTTGTAAGGGTTACTGACGGTCCTAATCATGAATATGGTACTAATTATTCATGCTAACTCCATTTTGCGCGAATTTTTGAAACGTCAACTCGAAATGCAAAAATTTGTCACCACGAGGAATCGAACTAGGGACCCCTTTTCTGGTATTCAGAGGGCCGTTCAGGAAAAATGAACCATGCTTCTGTGGTCCCCATATGTGCCCCAATATCATGCAAGAAACCATTTTGAAAAAGCTTGGCACACCCTGAACGACCTCCCTTGTAAGATTAACGGGACCTCAAATCTCTGCATTTGCTCAGAGTTTTCCAAAAAGCGACGAGAATAGCAAGCTGAATGAGGAAATGAGTCAGTTGGTGGTCGTCCTGGAAACGTTGGTAAATAAGGTTGTGGGAAGCAGGAAATTATGTGTGTGGTCGTGTTCTTTTATGAGCTAGTTGTAAGATAACCATAATAATCCCCACGTCCAGTCGCATATTCCGAATTTAGCGTTTAGGCGATCGAATGAAGTACATTCTTTTTGGAACCTTGACTGGTTTGGCTTACTTTTAGTCCACCATGGGTGTTAGGCGTTGGGCGGAAAGGGCTGAAATGATGGCTAAATGGCTTTTTTTGCCTTTCGGAGGCACGGTTTTTAAATGCTTTCATGAAACCGTGTACTAGATCGCTATGTTCACTTTGCGGTGGTGCTCGAGAGGCAACATTTAGGATTTCAGACCTTTTCCAACCCATCTACGTATTTTGAGCTTTTATTTGTGAGCCAGGATAGCCTATGCTGTGCCAGTCCAAATCACATACGGTAGCAGTCGAAGGGCTCGAACAGAATGGTTTTTTTTGCGCGTTACTTTTTTCCTGCCAAAAGACCTGGAACTTAAACGGAGATTTTTCCTTTCAACTATCTTGAACTCCTAACAATTTAATGGTTTGAAAATACCAAAAGGCACAATATGTCGATGGTTGGAACGAACTGGTCAAGGAAGAAAGGACGGTGCACGATGGTCCGGTGAATAATTTTGACCGCTGTTATAGCTAGGCCCTCTTCTCTTCCTTGGGGTCCATTGCAGAGTGGATAGCTTGCCTTTGGGGAGGAAGTAGAGTTATTAGCTGAGGCTCACACTGGCTAGCTCTAGTTGGTGAGAGGGAGATCTCTAAAGATAATGAGGGTGTGTGTACGTGCATGT